CAATCTAGGCTAACTATTTACTAAGTTTTGGAAAAGTTTCAAGGCTGTAGCACCTCTCTGTAAGCAGATATAGGTGCAGGAGTTTTTTTGTCTTGTACTGTAATACTTATATATGTTTATTATTTTATAATACAGATATTGATATTTAAAGTTACATTATCTAGATTTGATATACACTATTTTTCCTTTTCTATCTATGAATTTTGTACATCAATATTAGAGTTCATAAAGCTATTTTTTTGTGATATAAACATTTTATTTTCATTTGAAATATTAGATTCAAAATTGTCAGTATCATTATTATTATTTATTATTATCATATTTGTATTGCTTTCTGCAAATAAAGAATTTTTAAAATTAAATTAAATTATAATTAAATTATATTACTGTACTTATTTATAATAAAAAATTATAAAAAAATATTTAATATAATAAACATTAATTATTAAATTTGATTAATTAGTCAGTACTTAATTTTCCAAAAGAATATTTTCTTCTTTGATAATATTTTGTTGATAAAGCATTGTAATTAATTGTAAATCAGCTTGGAGATCCTGCCAGAATACTAATTGATATAGAGTTGTTTTTGCAACAATATATGTATTAATATATATGATTATACAGTATATTAAAATTTAATTTAGCTTACAATTTTAAATAATTATATGTATTAAATTTATTTACAGATTATAAATAGTAATTCAGTACTTCAGTCATTTTGTTTAGTCTCATCCATCTATGACCCAAGCTTTGTTTGTAAAATATCATTACTTTTCTCAACGGATTCTTAGCATTAGGGATACCTTGGTCATCTATATATAAATTTAATGAATAGCCAGAGTTTTATAGTTTCTTTTATGATATTGTCAACAAATTCTTCACTATTATCTGAGTATAAAACAAATTGTGGTCCATATTTTAAACAAAATTGCAAAAGAAAACAGACTGGTTTAATCACAGATTTTGTTTTTGCAGGTTCTGCTGCAGAAAACCTTATAAAATGATCACGGATATGAATAATATATTTAAATTCACCATCTGGTATTGCTGTCATGTTTATAGTATCAATCTTTAAAAAATTTAATAAATTTAATATTAAAAAAAATATAATTAACTAATTATAAAACTTACTTGAATATAAGCAAAAAAATTTTTAGTGTTTATAGGTTTTATAGCAGATGCATGTTTTGTTGCACATCATGTAACACATATATTGTATTGTTTGACTGTATTTTCTACTATTGTTTGAGATATAAAGCAATATCATTGTCGAATCTATTATATATGAGTGCGTGAGAATGAAAACCTGTAACTGATCATAGTAAATCATTATAATCAGTTCCAGGTTTTTATTCTCACGCACTCATATACCCAATAAGTATATAATATACTGTATTCTAAAAAAAATCTTTATTAATTTTGATAAAAACTTGTTTTTAGCCATATTTTTTCTTGATCACTATGCTCTGTATCTTGATAAGTCTAGTAAATTACATTATAGAAATCTTTAATTAGACAAACTTGGATGCTATGGTTATTGTTTTTTGACTTAAGATTTAATTCTTCAACAACACCAACTTTAACTAATTTAAATGTATGAGTTGCCCAATATTTAAAATTTAGATTTTTATGTTTACTTTCAGGGTTTCGTAAAAGAGTTAAACAACAATTATAGTTTGACCAATTCATTATGTACCTTTCATTTTTTCAATTATTTATATAATCATGTACAATTTTTTCAAAGGCTTGGGGTGAAAGAAATGAAAAAACTATTGGATTATTAGAGGTCATATTGATACTAAATAAAAAAAATAAAAATTGGTAAAGTTTTTTTTTAAATATTGATTGTGGCTTTTTTATATAATTAATCGTATAATTAATTGTATAATTAATTATATGATTAAAAAAAATTTTGTAGTTAAATTTGAGCGCAGTTAATATTGACATATATTACATTTCAATCAGTATAAATTTTGAAATAACGCATATTAATTTGAAGTCCAGAGATCTTATAAAGTGACATGTGACATGACTATATTATATTAATTTAAATTTTTTATAAATTTAAATTTATTGTTTTAAATTTTTTAATTTTAATTTATAATTTATAATTTTTATTTTTAAATTTTTTATTTTTAAAACTATATAGTATATTTTAAAACATAATATTAAATTTTTGTACAGTATGAGGATTCTTAAACCAACATATAAAATTAAAAATTTTTAAAATTTTATAAAAAAATAAAAAATACAGTTTAAAAAAAACTTTTCATAGAAATATACAACAAATTGAGTAGAACAAAATTACAAAGTTTGTTTTTTAATATAACAAAATTTGGATAATATTATTTCCTTTTAAAGTTATTAGTAAAATAAAAATTTGGTCGCATATATATAAAAACATAATAAAAATTTAAAAAATATAATACAAATTTAAAAAACATAATGAAAATTTAAAAAATTAGCTAATCAAATTTTAGTATTTTGGCTCGAATTTGGCCACTTTTAAAAAAGTTGTTGGTTTAAGAATTCTCGCATTGTAGTTTTAAATATTTTAGTTTTAAATTTTTAATTTTAAATTTAGAGAAATTCTATTTTCACCCCACCCGATGAACTATGTCATTGCGTATTAGTATTAGTAATATTTCGGGTGATTTTAACCCGGTGAAAATAGAATTTCCCAAGAAAAAATTTAAATGTTGTAACAATGTTGTGATTAATAATATAATTTTTTACTTTTTTAAAATTTATTAAACACTTCGAAATTTGAAAAAAACTTGATCAAAGATTTATTATTTACGATTTGAAATTTTAAATGATAAAAAATTTTATTTTTATAATTATTGTATAAATATTCGATATAACCATTAGACCTACTGTAGAATATCACTTGATTCAATATTCTTAACGTAAAAATAAAAATAAATAATAACTTACAACATTGGTTTAAAATCGATTTTGATTTTACACTATTTATTGAGAATGAACATATATTTAGATTTGATTATTATCAAATGAAGTAGAAATCCTGATTTCCCAAAATTTGTATTAATACCATAATTCAAAAAAAGGGTTGAGCCACAACCCTAGAACTAATAACAATATAAACTTTAATCAAAATTTATCAACAAATCAGAGTTACTTTCATTGCTTTCATTGTCTAATAATTCAGAATCACTTTCAGGAACATTAGTAGTTTCTATCATGCTGTGATTCAACTCTCCAAATGGTTGATCATGATCATCAACTATAATAAATGAATTGACAGCGTCAAAAGATTGTGGTTGTGTTGGACTTTTTGACCCGGTTGAACCCGGTTCTAACTCTAGTATAGACATATCGCCATTTTCAGTAAATATAAACGATAAACGCTCTGTCATGTCATTTTTCTCAAGGTCCGAATTAACGGGAATAAACCTAATTGTTAGAATCAAATTGGTTAGAATCAAATTGGTAAATATAACTAAAAAAAATAAATTAAGATAAAAAAGAATGCATAAGTGTCAAATTAATTTACATTCGATATCCCGGCTCTTTAACTTCGTCATCTAATATTGCAAATTTCACCCTTGTATCATTCGTCGATTCGCCTTTTGAAACATTCATTTCCCAATTCTGATGAACTTCAACGCAATGTAGTCCCTCTGTTGACCTACATTGATTATAGCGTGTAATCATTGCCTGAATTATAATTAAAGCTTAGTAAGAATGATTATTGAATATTAATTAAGAAAATGTACAGCATAACATACCTCAAAGAGTATTGCTATCACCAAAAACAAGTCTCTTTGCAAATTTATAACGGACAAAGTCTGATTATAATCGTAGTCATGTAGGTTGATGTCACCTCTAATCTCTCTGATACATTGTGAGAACTCTTCATTAGACATTAAATCACTTGTATATATTCGTTTATCCGGATCATTCTGTTAATAAGGAACAAAAATTTTTTTTCAGCTCAAATAAATAAATGCTAATGTTATACATATAACATATCTGCGTATATATATATATATATATTAACATACCTTACCATACCACCATAGCAATGTTCTCCAAAATTTTCTCTGACTTTCACGTGGTTTCCAGCATTCTTGTGATGCTAGGTATAATATCTGACCTAAAGATTCCGCCCCCTGGTCAACAACACAATGATACTGCCTTTGGATAAGTAAAATTATAAGAAAAAATTCAATGTCTATCAAAGTTGGTGTTTCAATTATTAGATTCCTTTTGGTTTTTCTTTCTTGTTTTGACAACAAGCGAGCCAGTCCAGTTCCCATTTGATTCCGTATCGACATGCTTTCAAACAATGATGATAAGGTTTGAATGGACGATGGAATATCGTGGCGTTTTCCGGGTTCCGGAAACTAGTAGTTAATTATATTTGTTAAGATTAATAGAGAAACCAATAAAATACACACATAATTACAGACCTTTGGGCAGTCTTCTAATCTCGGAAATATATATCGTAACCATTCTCGTAACACACCACTTTCCATATACCAAGCCGAAACAGCCAAAAAACTGTATTTGACGTAAGATTATTTAGTAAGTTTATATGTACGTATTTAAACATGCATTTTCGTAAGTGAGAACTCCTTACCGGTCCAAATCATATGGGGCACAAAATGCTATCTTATCAATCTGATTTGACATTTGAGCCAACCATTTCAATGTACTTAATTCTGCCAGTTGGTTTTTACCGACATTTTGAATCAACTCCTTAATAAGACGAACATGTCCAGGTAAAACAAAATTTTGTCTAACATCATCTTCATATTGGGAACGTGGTTTCAATACATATGCAGCGGAATCGCTTTTATTCAACCAAGCATAATCAAAACAATGCAACAAAACCAATAATTGATGAGAAACATCACTTATCCGTTGGCACATTAGATAAATAAAATGAGTAATTGGACGATTAGGGTCACGGAAAGTCTCACGGCGAAAAGATAAACATGCTTTAAATTTTGAATAAGCAGCACAGAGATGCTCTTGATTTTTCTGTACTGTCTTAGACAGAAGCTTGAATTGACTCAAATCAGAAGATGCGAGTTTAAATTGGAAATATCCATCATGTCGTAAGCTTCGATATTGATATTCCTAAGCAAGCATAATATTAAAATTAAAATAATTTATATCCTTTTGGAAGATCGTATAATAAATTAATCGATTCAAATAAACCTGTCGGTAACGTGTCCATTTTTCAACAACTTGATGATTTTGCGATGAAGGTGTTTCCCATGTCTTTATAAGATCTGAAAACTCCTTCACAAGTTTTCCAGATTCATCGCGTGGTCTATGTAAACGATGTTAGTTAAAATCAACGTTTACAAAAATAGGTCGAATTTAATAGATAAATTTATACTTTATTTTTAACGATAGTCTAACAACATTGTCACAAGCGAAAAATATCAACTCTGTTGATTCATGTAACAGCTCCTTTATACTGTCAATAGTGGCTAACTTTCTCAGCTTTGGAAACGTATTCTTGACAAAGAGATTCCATTCTAAGCTATCAACGAAATTATAACGTCGCTGTAATACATGTTTCCATACACTTAAATATATGAATGTACATCTCAATTATATTGTTGATTCCTCAAAAAAAAAAATGATAAAATTTTTTTGTTTACTTATATCCGTTGTAAAATTTACCGTTGATGATCATGCATTTTCAATAATGCCTTAGCAAGAATTATATGAAAAGCGGGATCGATGAAAGTATCCTCAACCGTTAACAAGCTTTTTATAGTATCATCAATCCACTGAATACTAGCCACTAAGCAAATTTCCAGTGTCAACAAATTGATTTGAGGGAAATAAAACCAAGTTACGTCCTTTAAGGTACAATGATGTACCTGGTGTACTTCCATCACGACGCTTTAAGCAACCACGCCTATCAGATTGCCTTTCTGCATGCTGAACTATAATGATATATGTTTTATGCAATAATTGTACTGCTCGAGGAATGTATTTTTTATTTACTTGACGAGTTCTATTTATAAAGATTACAAATAAATAATTTGATATATAAATCATATATGGGAACCCCCACAGAAAAAGGGTGCAATGGGCCGAAAATCTTAAATTTGTAATTTTATAACAATTAGAAGCTGATTGTTCTAATTCTTCAAAAAATTGTTTAGAAAAAAAAAGTTTTTTGGCCCATTGCACCCTTTTGCTGTGGGGTCCCCATATAAATAAATGACAAACCTTTCGATCCAAAATAAGGACTTATCAGTAAACTTTTTTATTTCAGTTTCATCTTTAGCCTTTTTCGCTAGCAGTGTGCAGAGTTCAGCAGCTTTATGTTTGCATAAGACGAATTTATTATGTGCTAATATAAATTATAGAAAAGCATGAAAATTATTTTGGATAAAATTACCATCTAACGCACGATTTTGTGAAGCACCTTTGCTACACAAAGCTCTAAACAAAAATAAAGAATAATTAAATCTGCAAGTAAAATGACAGCAATAAACTTGGTTTACCTTTCATAGAAATCTAAAGCAGCCTCTTGCCTGCCTTGTCTTCTGTAAACAGTACCAAGTAGGTCGTTTGCCTAGGTATACTTGGGTTATTACAAGTTTTAATAAAATGTATGCACAAAATTGAAAAGAGTTTAATTGCAAGGTCTTACCTCATAATCCTCAGATTGTAGTTTCAAAAGTTCAAGTAGATATTTTTCAGTCTTGGAATAGTTTCCAACTTTAAAGTACAAGTTTGCGATTGAAAGCCATGAGTATTGAATGCGATTCGGTGATACGTCCGTACCAATGGTTTGGGAAACGTATTCGTCTATTTCGCTGTCTGTATTGAAGACAGCTGGTGATGGTGTATAACGTCCCATACCAATCCTGTTATTTTACTAAAAAAGACAAGGTGTTTTAATATTTAATACGATGTCGCAAATCCGATCTATAGGCAGACTTTCTTCTGATTGGTCAATCGTTTACAATTCACAAGTGAAAAAAATATTATTGGTTCACGCGAATACGAAAAACAAGCGAACAAAGTTAGAATTATAATATAGAAGAATTGCAGAATTATAGTTTACTAGTCTGAATGTTGAAATTTTTTGCACAGCAACATTTGTTTTAAATTATCTTTGATTAGAACTTATTATAAGTCGAGTTAGCAAATATAATAATGAACCTAACCCATTTTACAAGTTAGAATTCTGAAACATCGAATAAACCGCTTATCTAATTTTTTTGCCATTATCTTATTCCTATCGTCATAGGATTAGAGTAATAACCCTAATACGTTTTTAAGAAAACAATAAGTTATCCCTTAACAAATTGTGGCTGCGAGAATATTAATGTGCTGAGTTTAGCTAGCATATAATATATGACGAACCAACAGTCAAGACTTGATTATACATGACAGATTCTGCAATATACGTAAAAATATTATACATATTAGCAATTCTGTAACAATAATTGAACAATATCTCGTATTTAGGTTCTATATAAACCGCAGACCTTTTAAAAATCACAGGATAACAGAAAACTTAATATTAAAATGTTTTTAGGATTCGAATATCGATTTCATCTATGATTGGTAAATTTTGTGATCATTTGATCATGGTGTACCATGAAAGATGCACCAATCAGATGATCTGCACTAATTAAACAATCGAATTTTTAAAGTAATAAACCGTCGCGCAAATCCTGAGTCTGTTACGTAGACGTAGAATATGTCAATTATAAATAAGAACGGTATAGATATATATGCAGTATTATGTGACGAATAATAAATATATGAAAGGGTAAAACCTGTACAGAGGTGATAACTCTCTTGACGCAGATTTATACGTACCTAATTTAAAGTAGGTTCCATTTTAGGTGGGATTTGCATGAATAGTGATATTTAGCGAGGTCATATTAAAAGTTGATGTATCTGAGGGAATTCTAATATAATTTTAATATTAAGTTTTCTGTTATCCTGTGATTTTTAAAAGGTCTGCGGTTT